TCCACCAGCGTGCTCTAGAACCCCGAGAACAGATAGATGGGGGGCTGAGAGAAGATGCTGGAAGACAAGAGGAGGCTGTGGAAGGGAAAGTTGCCCACCCCCCACCCCTACCTCCACCCCCAACCCCTCTCCTCCAGTTTTTACTTTTGAGCAATGGAAGTAAAGAGGAAATCTGAGATCTGGCCGGAGGGAGAACTAGGATTCAAATCCCTTAATCCGCCCCATGGGGAAAGTCTCTGCACCTCAGGCTGCTCAACAGTGAAACGAAGGGGCTGAACTCAGTGACCTCGGAGGTCAATCGGTCTCAGTTCCCCCATCTGTAAACTGAGGGGGGCTAGACTTGATGACTTTTGGGGTCCCTTCAGGCTCCGCATCTGTGAACTCTAGGACACTGAGGAGTAAGGGATTTGCTCATGGTCCCACAGCCAGTATCCTGTGTAAGAGATGGGGGTTTAGCCTTGAGTGTCCCGCCCACGAGGTCACCTCTGTCTAATCTAACATGATCCTCCCTTGTTTACGCTTCTCTACATATTCCCTCTCCCTCCTGCTTTCCTTGAGCGCAACTCTGCTTTTTCATTTTTTTTATTTGTATTGAAATGTCTCTACCACCTAGTATAGGACCTAGCACAGTATGTGTATGCATATACACGCATACAGGTATGTACACACATACATATGTATACACACATGCATGTGTACATGTGTGTTTACTGTATGCATGTATACATGTATGTATATACGTGTGTGTATGTGTTGCATTGAATCAAGGAACCTTTTCATTTAGGGCAGCCAGGTTATTTGCCTTCTGGAACTGTCTATTATTAGATTAGATTTTTGATGGCCAAGTTCCTGTTCTGCCTCTCTTTTTGGCTTGGTCTTGATCTGTTTCTGAATTCTGTCTTGGTCAAATGTATGTTCAGGGAAGGTATAAAAAGAGAGTTTTACATCAGAAGGGGAGATATAGGTTTGTGAGGAGAGTTCCCTGGGGAATCAATAAGGAGGAAAAACTTGACCTTGCTGCCCTGATAACAGTTGAAAAGGCTGCCCTCTAGCTATAAAGGTGGAGATGGAGGATCTGATTTAATGAGGGGTGAAGGCAGCTTGGGAGTATAGTTGATAAAAGAGCTGGCCTGGGTTCAGGTCCTGCCTCTGACACATCCCTGGACAAGGCACTTCACTCATCAGTTCTCCAGGCAACTCTCTCCCCTTGTAAGTTGAGTGGCAGTTTTCCATCTGCATGGGTAGACAGAATTTCTTCACTGGCTGGCCTCTCTACCCATGAAATTGCAGGTTAAGTTTAAAAATAAAAATAAAAATCAGAGTTTGAATAGATTGATGTGTGTGGAACTGCATTATTTGCCAAAAAAAAAAAAATGAAAAGGGAAGAAGGCATGAGAACTACTTAAATAATCTGCTCAGAATCAGAATATCTCATATTCCAGAGGGATCTGGAAGGCCATCTAATCAGCCCAGACATGAACAATAACCTTTACTTCTGCCTCTCATGTGAAACTTGTGTTTTGAGGCCAATGAGAATAGATGTAAATGACAAAGAGAGAGGGTGGCCCTGTCCTTGGAAAAAAAATGGCTGTCTGCTTCCTTCAATCTAAAGATCACATATTTTAGACCTCCAGGCACCCCTCCTTACAGGTGTGCCTGTTAATGAAAATGCATCTCCTCAAGCTGGAATGCTTGTCTATCGGGTATCTCATTTGTAAGGATTTGTTCCATAAAACCAAATTGGTTTGGGTGGCCTGGTGAATTGATGCCAGTGTTGTCTTTATGTGGAGAGCAGCACTCCTATGTCCCTGTGTGTAATAGTCGTGTAGGGAAACGAAATCTTAAAGCAAAATGTCAGGATTTTGTGCTGTGTGAGGATGTTAGAATAATTTCATGACATTATTCACTGGTTTTTTTTTCTAAAATAGAAACAGTTTACAATTTGCGAGAAGAGAATAGACAACTAAGAAAGGCTCACCAAGACATGCATACACAGCTTCAAGATGTAAAGGTAAGTTCAGTCAAACCTCAGGTCTCTGGGCTGTCTTTGTGCTTAGCATTACCAAGCGCACTCCCCTGAAGCACCTAGTCCCTCCCCGGCCTTTGCTTAGTAACCCGAGGATCCTCCAGAAGAAGGAAGCCCATGAGGTCATGCCACGTGATGATGGGTTGAAGAAACTGGGGATGCCTCGCCTGCCTGGGAGGATGTGACAGCTTGAAGGACCCCCATGGAGAAGAAGAATCCTAGGGTTAGAGTTGGAGGGACCTCCAAGGCTCTCAGTCCGACCCCTCAGATGAGGAGGAGGAAGGAGAAACCCAGGAGAATGAAGTCCTTGTCTGGCCCTTACATTGGTCACGGGGGTCAGAAGCAGGATTTAATCCCTGGTCCTTGGAACCGAGGCCGGAGCCTTCGTCCACTGTGTTAACTTGTTCCACTTGAGCCCCAGAGGCCAAACTTAGGCACAGTGGTACAAGTGGCAAAGAAGCACATTTAAGTTTGAAAGTTTAAAATTTAAAGACAAAGCTCTTCCCACCACTTAGTGTCCTCATAGATTTAGGGTTGGAAGGGACCTTCGGGTCTATCAAGGCTGGACCTTTCATTTTCCAGATGCAGACACTGGGCTCGGAGGGGCTAAAGGATTTGCCCAGGGACACAAGGCTGGCCGGTGTCCAGGGTGGGAATGACCTGGTCTTTCTGACTACCACCCTGTCCCCTACACACTGTGGAATGAGCTGACTCGGGAAGTCATGGGCTGCCCTTCCCCAAAGGTCTTTGAGCAAAGGCTGGTGGGCCATTTGCCCAGGATGTTATAATGGGACCTCCTTTTCGGCTGTGGCTTTGGCTTTGGCTTGGTGATGGGGGGAGGGGCGGGGAGGGGGAGAAGGTATGGGAATGAAATCCCTTTCAGCTTTGAGATCTGGGATATACCAAGGCCAGGGGCTGAGCTTTGCCATTGGGTGAGGTCAATGCAACCAAAGCCCAGCTGATTCTTTGGCCTCTACTCTAGGGTTTCACCATTGCTTTCTTATTGCTTGAGAGCCCTGGGGAGCTTCTCATACTAAGTGGTCACTTCTGGTTATACAGAAGAGACATGTGGTAAGAAGGAAATTCGACATCAGGATCAGTGTGAACATTCTTTTTTTTTTTTTTTTGAGACAGTTAGGGTTAAGTGACTTGCCCAAAGTCACACAGCTAATAACTGTTGTGTGTTTGAGGCTGTATTTGGACTCAGGTCCTCCTGACTCCAGGGCCTGCGCTCTCTCCACTGTGCCACCTGGCTGCCCCCAGTGTGAACATTCTTGAAGTGATATGGTGACACCGTTGGATTCAAATCAGTCCTTCGGGTGGGAGAAAGGAAAGAGAATTGTTTAAGCCTCATACCCTAATTCATAGGCTGACAATGGCTGGGTTTCTTTGAAGGGGATTTAGGACGGCTTTGCACAGTACTTTGTGCCTAAAAATTGTTGAGATCTCTGCTGAGCACTACACAAGTTAAGTTCAGTCAAGGCAGCAATCATCGATTAAACACCTACTGTGTGCCAGGCACAGTGCTAAGTGCTGGGGATACAAAGATAGGCAAAAGACAGCTGCAGTTCTTCAAGAGCTCAGTCTAATGGAGGAAACATCACACCAACAACTATGTGCAAACAAGCTGGCGATTACCAACAGAGAGAGGGCGTGGGCATGAAGGGAGCCTGGCAAGAGCTTCTTGTAGAAGGTAGGGAAGACTAGCTTGCATTCAAATCCTGAGGATGGGGGCAAGCTCTTTGTCCTCAGTGCATGTCCATTTAAGAGGGAAAAAAAAGGTTCTGTTTTATGCAAGCTTGCCTTGCTTTATATAAAAAATGTGTTTCTGGAAAATTCAGCATCAGTGAAATTTATCAGAATTGAATCCTAGTGTGTACGGGTTAGGGAGTATCACTGGTCAGCGTTGGAAGAAATCTGGGCCATTATGTTACTCTTCTTCAAGTGGCACTTGAAGGTGCCTTTGGGCCTCCACCGCGAAAATGTCCACATACACTTGGACACATCGCTTAGGATTGCCAGTGGTCTTGATGTGGTCCTTTGTTTTTAGGATTGCGTTGTTTTAGCGACCCAGGCACAAGCCAGATTTGTTCATGAAAGATCACAAGATCCTCGATTCAGCACGGGAAGGAACCTTAGAGACCATCTAGTCCAAGAGTCTTAGGCTTTCAGGGGGCACGGAACCCATCTGGTGAAGCCCACAGACCTCTTCTCAGACTCAGGCTTTTTAAAAACTATTATTCATCATTGAAGGAAATGCTGGATTTCGGTTAGAGGCTGGTGAAAAGAAGGATGGTTTTTTTTTTTTTTTTTTTTCCCATCCCAGTTCATTGACCCCTCATAAATCCATCCATCCATCCATCCATCCTCCCATGAGCCCTGGGTTAATTTTTAAATAAGATAAGGCAGCTCGGTAGCTGAGGTCACACATCTAGTAAATGATAGATCTGATATTTGAACCCAGGTACTCGAATGCCACATTTAGCAGGTGTACCCAGATGTTTCTATTTGATTTTGATTTCGTATTCTGTAGTCTCACTGCTCGTGTTCAAAACTCTCTAAGTCATAAAAGAAGAGTATAGGCCAATGTCTGAAATAGAGAGGTGGTTTTTATTCACTTTGGGGGTGGGGTGGGGTGGGGAGGTGGGAGGGCTGGAAAGTCAGTTTGCAGAGTTGAATACAACGTTCAGTCGCATCACTATCAGCTGGAGAAACATGTGCTTTGAGATCTCAAGCTCAACCTGTAAATATTCTTTCTTTATGTAGCAGCAGCATAAGAATTTACTCACCGCGCATGAACACCTAGTAGTGACTTTGGAAGACCACAAGAGTGCGCTAGCCGCTGCGCAGGTTAGGAGTGTGGCAGCCTCTATCCAGGGGTTCTTTTCCGAGGCAGCTTCTGTTTCTGAATTCCTGTATGCATGTAGTCTTTTGCAATGACTCTCCAGTGAGCTCTAGCTTGGGCCAGCTCCAGGCTGTACTGATCCTGGAGAATTATGCATGCTGTGAAGATTTCTAGCTCTCTTCTCTACACTGCTCCCCCTCTCTCCCCAAAGAATGAATGAAGCTAACCCCTGCGGCCGGTGTCTTTGTCCTGAGGGTGCTGTGGGTGTGACTGAATCTGTAGTGAGCAGGAGCAGGCTAAGCCCTTGCCTTGCCTTGCCTACCTGGTCCAAGACATGGAATTTTCATTAACTTACCTTTTAAGATCGATTACCTTCTAGAGACCTGGGAAATTGCCTCCTTTTGAGGGGTATTGTTTTTTTTTCCCTACCATGGAAATGGCTTGTAATCATTAATACTCATACTGATGTTATTAGATTCAAGGCTTGTGCTTTGTTCTGACGTAGCAAATCTATTAACTTTGAAAGCAAGAGCCGAGCGCCGCAGAGACCCCTCCGCTGTGAGAGACAAGCTCAAAGTGGTGCCCTGCAGGATTTGAGCAGGGTACTACAGTGAGGGGTGGGCCGCCACTTCTAGAGAGTCGAGAATTAGAACCATACCTGGATAGAGTGGTTATTTCTGGAGCTCCCCACTTAGCTCAAAGAGGAAACAGAACATTGTGGGGGGAGGGGGGCCTCAGCTGAGCTCCTTTGGGAAGGAAGGGGCCGCCTAATGGGGAAGGAGATAGGAATAGCCTTTTAATATGGAGATGGTGATTGAGTGGGGAGTCTTCCTTTTGCTTTCCTGCACTTCTTTCAGAAGGTGGATAGGACAAGGAAGAAGCAGATGTGCTGGAGGGAACCCCTCAGAAGATGCTGCTGCATGAAGGGTGTCTCCCACCCTTTGCCCTCATTCCGGAAGTTATCTGTGTGTGCTGATTTTTTTTTTTAACTTAAATTAGGTTGACTTTAAGAAAAGGGCCTCTCATTTAAGCCCTGGTATAGGGAAATCCTACGAAGGAGAGTGGGGAGTGGGAGGGAGAGGGACCTGCATCATCCAGGCCAGTGATGGGGCCTGGTGTAAAACTAAGGCCCATTAACTCCTGATCCTGTCTTCTCTCTTCTCTGTCTCTGTACTTCCCTCTAACTGAAGGTCCTCATTAAAATCTTGCCCACATACCCTATCACTTTAGCCTTTTCACATCCTTGCCTCAGAACTTTTATTTCTTTCAATTCAATTCGACATTTGATAAACGCCTACTGTGTTCCAGATACTGTACTAAATGCTGAGTATGGAAAGACAAAAAAGAAATAGTCCCTGCCCTCAAAGAGCTTCCATTCTTCTGGGATCATAGAATTCAACACATAGTAATGGAGGGGGCTTGGAGGGAGGTGGGATAAGGAGGTGGTGCAAAGCACTAAGGACTGGGGGAATTAGGAATGTTCTTGTGGAACCTCATCTGAGCTTCCAGTGGCTTTGGAGAGGCAGAGGTGAGGCAAGAAAACATTTCAGGCATGGGTGACACCCCGAGCCAAGACAAACAGGGAGGAGATGGGAATGTTATTAATAAGGAGCAACAAGTATCCTGGAGGTTGGGGTGGGCAGGAATAATGTGAAATCAGCTTAGTCAGTAGCAAGCATTTATTAAGCACTTACTGTGCACCAGGCACCATGCGTAGCCCTGAGGCTACAAAGAAAGGCAAAACCAATCCCAGCCCTCAGGGTGCTTATGTTCTGAGAGGAGATACAGCAGGTTATATGCATATGAAACATGCAGAATAGATAGAAGGTGATCTGAAAGGAGAAGACATGAGTAGTCTAGAGACATATCTTTAAATGTCAAGAGTATAGTTTGTATGTTATCCTAAAGGAAATAAGAACTCCAGAAACCTCATAAAAAGGAGAGTGTCATGGTCAGACCTGTGCTTGGAGAAGATTGTTTTGGCCCCTGGGTAGAAGCTGTGTTGGTGTGGTGAGAGACTGGAGGAAGGGAGACTTAGGGGGAGCTGATTGCTTTAGTCCAGGGATGAGGCAATAGGCCTGAAATGGGAGAAAAGGCAGTAGGTATTGTGGAGGCAAAGTTGACAGAATTTGACAACCGATTGGACATGAAGGGCAAAGCTTACAAAACTGAGTGGTTGGAAGGTTGGCCGATTGTTTGACAGAAATTTGAAAGTCAGAATGCAGTGTGTTTCAGGAGGAGAAAGTAATGAATTGTCTTTTGGACATGATGAGTTTGGAACGCTGACACAGCATTCAGGTGGGGTTGTCCAGCAGGCAGTTGGTAATGGGGGCCAGAGCTCAGGGGAGAGACCAGGGCTGGTTAGGTAGATTTGAGGAGTCATTGAAATAGAGTAATAGAATAATTAAAGTCATGGTAGGTGAGCATAGAAAAGAAGAGGGGATGTAGGACAGAGCCCTTGGTTGGGTACACTCATACCTAAGGGGTGGAATGTGGATGGTGTTCCAGTTTAAGAAAGTGAGAAGAGGCAGTTGGACAGATAGGAAGAGAACCAGGAGAAAGAAATGTCACATAAACCCAGGAGAGGATTTCTAGGAGAATGAAGCCTGAGGAAACTCATTGGATTTAGAAATGAAGAGATGATGAGTTACCTTAGAATGGTTTAATTCAGAAGCCAGAATGCAAGGGGTTGAGCAAGGAGTGGGATGTGAGGAAAGTGGAAGCAATGAGTGTAGACAGCTTTTTCTAGGAGTTTGACTATAAAAGGGAAAAGAGGAGGGTAACTTGAGGGCATGTCAAGGTCAAGAAGAGCAGAGGTTCTGGCCATGTTTGCAGACAGCAGGGTAGGAGCTAGTGGCTAAAGAGGGGTTGAAGTTTATAAGAAGGGAGATGATTCCAGGGGCATGTGCCAAGAATAGTTGGAAGGAAGGGGACTAATTAGGGCACATGTATAATTGAGAGTCAGGGACAGTAAAAGAATTAGTGAGCCCAGTGAGGGAAAAGCAGAGAAAGCTGGCAGGAACTAGGTTTCACGGTGCTGGGGCCAACATTCATTGTCTCCTTTTGCTTGTGTTCCCAGCTGTGTCTTATGACTTTTCCACCTCCTTTCAGCACAAGTTGACTTGGTGTCACAAAATGTATTCACATTTTAAAATACTTGATTGCTTTCAGTTGAGGAAAAGACCATAATGGGTAATGGATATGGATCAGCATTTGGCTAAGCATATTTTCAGTAGATTTTTATGTAGCAGTGTAAGAATTATACAGCTGGCTCATTTATAAAAGTGGCATTTATTAGAAAGTAGAGAAATAATAAGAATTCTGACTTCTTTTGTATGTAGCTTGGGAAATTAACATCTGTCTTCAATAATTTTTCCATGTTTTCCTTAGAGCTCTAATTTCTAATTTGCATGTACTCTATAATGGTGAAGCATGTCAAAATAAGACTGTCTAATGCATGGAAATCATCTGCATATTTTGCCAAACTGGAGTCTAGTTGTGCTATGTATGTGATGCCGAGAACTCATATTCATAGTAAGCTGCCTGTGAGTGACATATTTTTCCTCCTCTCAAATTCTGCAATTTGCATCCAGACCCAAGTGGCTGAATATAAACAACTGAAAGATACACTGAATAAGATTCCGAGCTTCCGAAAGCCTGATAGGGTGGAAGAACAAAATGTCATCCACGTAGCACCTTCCCGCCAAGGTGATTTCATTGCCAGAGAGAGGAAAATAACTGAGGAACCAAAGGAGGTAATAACATGAACCCTTCAAAAATTCTATCTTTCCAATTTCCAAACATTTATTTTCTCTCTCTTATATCCTCCTCCTTCTCCCTCCCCCCACTAAAAACGAAAAAAAAAACCAAACCCTTGTAACAAATAATGATAATGAAGAAAAACAAATTCTCACATTGATCATATCCAAAAATGTATGTGTCATTCTGCATCTTGTGTCTGATCCCTATGTCAGGAGGTAAGTAGCATCCTTCATCACTCTGTTATCCTGCTTGGTCATTGCACTGGTCTAAGTTCTTAACTTGTTCTTTCCAGTGTTGGTTTTGGTATAAACTGTTCTCCCCAACAGTGAATGCTTAATATGGGGATTTTTGTTCCATCTTTGGCCAGTCAAGCTGCCATCTAAGTGAGATGATCAGTCTTGCCAAGTTTGCCTGTCCTCTCCAATCCAACAAGCATTTATTATGTACCCTAGAATGTTCAAAGACTAGGGCTGCAGAGGCAAGATAGAAGAATGCCCTCTCAGAATTTTTAGTCTTTATCCATTGATTTTACCTCTGTTCCTCTCAGTTTGTGTGGCTGAGAACCCTTGCCATGATTGAAAGTTACTGAAAGTATAATTAAATGATGCACAAGAGCAATGCAGGCGGTCTTTCAACTGATCCTCAATGTCTATACTTCTGTTTCTTGGGATGTGTTTGTTTATGGTAGCCATTACTGATGTCTGGCCTTTTGATTTTAACAGTCTTGTTTGGATTGGTATATATCAACCAGTCAAGAATATTAATTAAGGACTAATCTGAATAAAATTAAAATTAACATCCTAGAATGATGGAGTGGACAGAGTGTTAGACCTGAAGTCACGTTTGAGTCCTGCCTTGGACGCTTAGTAGCTTTGTGACTCTGGGGCAAGTTACTGTCTCTGCATCCCATTTGCTTCCTGTAAAATGAGAGGATTAGCCTTCGTGGCCTCTGAGTTACCTTTCACTCCGACCTCTGATCCCATGATGATATATGCAGCCACTGTGCTAGTTTCAAGGGATAAAAAACAAAAATGAAACCCTGGTTGCCTTCGAGGAGCCTCCATTGTTTCAGAATGAGTGAGCTGGGGCTGTCCATAGCCTGCCCCCAAAGGGCAAGATTGGCCCCAGAGCTCAGTCTATGCTCTGGAGAATCGATTCCCTTGGGGATACGTCTTTCTCTGCACTAGCAGTAAACACAGAGTTGTCTTCTGGCAGAATAGCTCACTTCATCCGAATCGTTCCTGTCTGGGCCTCTCTGTCTTTCTGTCATCCCCTCGTCCCCCTTCTTGTTTAAGGTGGCCCAGTTCAGTAAATAGAGACAAAGCAGGGGTTGGGAGGCCGCCATTTAACCTTAGTTCAGTCACTTAACCACCCAGTCCTTTAGCTTCTCTATCTGTAAAGTGGAGATAGTGTTATCTGTTCAGACTCACTTCAAGGGGATTTTGTGAAGATAAATGAGATATTTGGGAAAGCCCTCAGGGCTCAAAGAAAGAAAAGACTCCATCAATCCAGGGTGTCAGAGCTATACCAGGTGTGAAGAGGAAGCAAAAACCTGCCTGCCTCTTCTATGAGTTTGTCTTGTTCCATTCTTCTTGGGAAACTATCAAAATGTCTCCCTCACACATTTGTCTGCTTTCACAAATGTGGTTAAATCTTGTTCATTTAAAACTTGGTAGATTCAAGAGAAAATTGGCTTTAAATTGGAGGAGTTGAAATTCCCTTTAATAACCAGAGAGCAAAGCACATGATCAAGCTGTTCCCACATGGGATAAGATGTGCAAAGTCTGATCACTTGGCAGGAGGGGAGGGTGTGATGGGGAAAGTGATGAGAAGTTTTTTGGTTCGTTTTTTTTTTCTCTTCCTTTTTTTCCTCTCTTTTGATAGAGGATCTCTGTTTCACTTCTGTCTGCTTCACATGAAACCATTCCTGAAGGGATGGAACCATGGGGACCACATTTCCACTTCAAATTCCACATTTCCTGAACTTTTTCAGATTGAAAGTATGCATTATTCTGGAAAACCTCTAGCTAATTGGCTGTAGCTAACAAATGCTACAGACAGAAGGACACTGTGCTTTGAAGTCACTGACATTGAATTGATATTTCAGTGTTTTCATGTATTATTTTTATTAGCCACTATTTTTAAGCAGCTGGGATGATCTGATTTCATACTTGAAATCACTGCTAACACTGTTATTTCTTTAAGTCAAAGCATTAGATGAGAATCAGTTTATTTTCCATTGCATTTTTATTATTTTCTTTAACATGGATTATTTGAGAATAAAAATGGATTGACTAAAAAGACAAAAGAGGACTTTTCAGTTTTCAGAGTTTTCAAGAGGAAGAGAGTGAAGAAATAGTTGCTTTGCAAAATAAAACAAGAGTCGCCATGTTATGTAGGGCATTTGGACTTTCTCAATCATCCGTTTCTATCATCAGTTTCATGTAGTTTTCTGAAGGTGGCATTTTATCTACAAAGCATCGCCGTTTTGCAGATGAGGTTGTTAGCTAGGATTACAGGCTCATAGCTTTAGAGCTGGAAGAGATGATTAAATGTAAGGTCTTCATTTTATAGATTAAAAAAAAAATAAACAACCCTAAACAAATGCCTGAGGCCCAAGGATGTTAAGTGATTTGTCCAAGGTACACGGTGAGTAAGTAGCAATAGACAGAGTTGAACATTGGTATGCCATAGTCTAGAAGCCATGTTCTGACTTCCTGGAAGTTTCGTGGCAGGACCACGGGGTAGACGTCTTGTCTATCTCCAGGAACGCGTCTCCATTTGATGGAGTAACCTTGAAGACAGTGGTGCTTGCCATGATATGTCCCTGTGAAATCAGCATGGTTTTCTCACACCCTCTTTCACCTAGGGTCCCCACAGTAATGAAAAATGGCAAGACCAGGAGCCCGCCATTGGGAAAAGGACAGCAGAGACCAAATCCTTGCATCCCACCCCAAAAGAGGTGGAGTTCCGCCCTGGAGATACTCCAAGCCAGCGAGAGGAGCAGGAGCCCAGGAGACGAGAGGAGCAGGACCACCAGGTGGAAGAGGAGAACAAGAGGGAGCTTGAGGAGGAGGCGATGGAGCAGGTGGGGCAGGCCGAGCACCTGGTGGAAGAGCAGGAGCAGGCGTGGAAGGAGCCGCAGGAGCAGAGAGAAGAGGAAACCAACCTGCTGACAGAGCACGCTCCCCCGCAGGTAGGGGCCTCCCTGTTCTGGGCCGTCTGGGGGAGAGGCAGCACGGGGAGCGGCGGGAGCCAAGAAACCAGGGTTCGGGGCCAGCTTCTGCCATCTCCTGGCTGTGGGACCCTAGCCAAGTCATTCGCTCCTCTGCGCCGCTCTGTCTGTTGCAGTTTTGCATCAATGTTGGGCTGTTCTATAGCATCTGCCTACGGAGAAGGAGGGAGGTGGAGTGAGTTGGCCTGAAAGCATTGGATGTATTTGGAAACTTAGTTTTCTGTTTGAAGACTCAGAAATAATCCCCCTTGGCAGTAAATACTCTTCATTGTTGGTGCTGTGTGTCGTATTATCTGCTTGAGGCAGTTCACAGAATTGTGTTTAGAGCTGAAGGTGACCCGAGAGGTCATCATGGCTGAGTCTTATTTCACAGATGAGGAAACGGAGGTTAAATGACTTGCCCAGGGTCACACAACTAATAAGCCTCTGAAGGCAGGCTCCATCTAGCACTTTCTCTACTGTTCCACCTAGCTGCTTTGGGGTGTTAGTAACAAATACAGAATGAACAATACTTAGCATGTGGGGAGGAGGCAGGCGCTGTTGGGAGGTGGGAGGTGTTTTTATACCTCTCCAAAAGGATGTTTCTCACCATCACAGGGTTTAGAGGTGGTGGTGGTTCTTCATTTGGTCAGTTGCTTCCAACTCTTTGTGACCCCATGATCGTAGCACGCCAGGCTCTTCTAGTCTCCACCGTCTCCCAAAGTCGGTCCCAGTCGATGTTCATTGTTTCCATGACACTCTCTACCCACCCCATGCTCTGCCATCCCCATCTCCTTTTGCCTTCAGTCTTTCCCAACATCAAGGTCTTTTCCGATGTGCAGAAGTAGATAGGAACTTAGATGTTAACTAGCCTCATTCTAACGATTTGGAAACTGAGGCCCAAAGCCACAGGGGTAGAAAGTAGCAAAGATGTGATTTGTAATCTCATCTTCTGGCTTCTGAATAAGCATGTCTAAGCACCAGCTCCATGCCAGGCACGACAGGGCTCAGGGCTCCATTCTGGGGCAGCCCCTGCCTTTGGCTGGCCAGGGTCACCAACTTGTGCCTAGGTGGGCAGATACAAGGACATTGGGAGGGAAGCACTGACAGCTGGGGGGGGTCCCCGAAGGCTTGGTGGATGGGGCATTGCAGGTGGAGCTTCCTAAGGGAGGAGGTGTGGAAGGAGTGCGTCCCACCCGTGGAAGACAGGCAGTGCAAAGCCAAGAATTAGTCCATTTTGTATTGAACACGTAAATCTACCCTCTTCTCCCTTTGAGGGAACATGGCAAAGGCTACTTTCATTTTATGGATGAGGAAATTAAATCTCTCTGTGCCTTAGTGATATACTCAAGCAATTAAATAGTACCTAGATCTGCTTCTTAGCCACTTAATTCTCCTCTGGCTGCTCCAGCATTCACAAACTGTCAGTGCCCTACATCCTGTTAGGAAGTCAGTCTGTGTATACCCATTCAGTACTGTGATATAGCTTGGTTCCCACCCCACCCCACCTCACCCCATCCCCAACAACAAAAAAAATCACCATTTAAAATGTGGTCGAATTTTTCTTTTCTGTCAGTAACATTTGCTGTCAATTTATTTATTTATCTATTCATTCATTCATTCATTCATTCATTCATTCATTCGTTTAGCAGCCTCAGCTTTCTGTGAGCTGGTGCTGCTGTTTTGCTTTGCCACCACCAGGTGGGAGGCCCTGGACATCCAGTCTGAATCAAGAGATGCCACCTACATGGGCCTCTGCCTGAGACCCATGGGTGGCAGCTTACTGACACCTCCAACTTCAGTTTCAGATTAAATGGTTCTCTCACTATGAAAACAAGTGAACTTAAATGGTGGCTGTTCAGTTTTTAAAAGATGCTATTTTATAAGAACTTTTAAGTTAACCTTTCTCACCAACCCTTAATGATTACCAATCCCCTGTTCTTACTTACGGACTTATCTATCACAGTGGTGGATGAACCATTCTGGGGCTTGTTTGCATTTCAGATACATTAAGTTAGCACTCAGACCACAGTTGATAACCAAGCTAAATAGAGCCAAAGTACAGCTCAGGGAAGCGGGATTCTAGACCTTTATAACCTTAGCATTTAAAATCACTGTCTCTCCTTTCTCATCTGTAAGATTGGTATGTCTAAGTCTTGACTTGTCTACCTCACAAGAATGCTCATCTGGATTGAGGGGTAAAGCCCCTGGTAGCCCCTTCCCTCTGCTACTATTTGTGGCATTAACTTAGGAAAGAGAACCTTTCTTAGAAAGCAAAACAAATTCACAGATATCCTCACATAAATGTAATTGAACTCTGAGGATCTATTGTTTGAGAGATTAAATACTCACAGAAAGCTACTATGAATGACTTCAGTAAAGCTTTTTAGTGGATTTCTATTATGTTCATGAAAATAGATTCTATGTATATGTGAAAAATAGTGATACCTATGTATGTGTCATACTTGCATTTACCAAAGTAATATTTCTTTAACTGTAGATTTATAAGCCCCTGGAAATAACTCCATATCCCTCTGGGTTTCATGACCTGCAGTTTGGGCCTATGAGCCCCCTGGCTTTGGAGGATCTTGGCGGTGACTGTCTTCCTTCAAAGGGTACTTCAGGAGTAATTTCTTAGGATTTTTCATCTTTGTGCCATTTCAGGTCTTCATCCTCATGTCTCTACTGAGGGACGTGAGAAATGGCTTTAAAGCAGTGTGTTGTGATTGTTCTTTTGAATGTTGTTTTCTCTAAATAGAAGAAGGTAATCTTCTCTCCATCCCTATTTTTTCAAAAAGAAGATTGCCTTTCTTTCTCTCTTCCCTCCTTCCAAGACAAAACTGCCAGTTGACTTTTTTTAGCTGGTTATGCTCTAATTTTTATGACCAATAATAGAGTTAATTAGCATCCCCTAATACACAGCCATCTTGAGGCCCAACAATAGCTTCAGCTCACTAACTCTTTTTATTTTTTTTCTTTTTGATGACATTTTGAACTCCCTCTTTCCTTTTGGAGTAAATGGAACTGCTATTAAAAATTGTCAAGTGGAAAAATTCGAGCCAAATTCTGAAAATGAGACTCAGTTGACGGGTGAAAATAATTTTGCCCAAGAATAATTCTGGAGACAGAACTCTTCTCCATCATGATCTTAGTTTACCATGTACAATTCCTCTATTTCCTTACTTATAAAATGGATATTGATAGGGCCAGCCTTGACTTTCCCTGCCCACATCAGAGTTGCTCTGAGGATTGAATCAAATGTAGGTATGCCTTAGCAAATATCGTTCAGAGTTTCTGAAAAAAATTTTAAAAATTGCTAAACAACCAGGGTCAGTTAGGAACTATGTTTATATAGAAGTATTATGCAATATGACCACCATAAGAAGTTATCTGAAATCCATCTGAGTTTCTAACACTAGCTTGACTTGTCACCATCTTGATTGAGTGATTGCCATCTTGGCCTTTTGCCTGGGTATTAGGAGTTTATAAATAACGAATTAACGGTGTTTTCGTGAAACTGCCAGGGCCGTCTTATTGGGGGTTACACCTGCAATAGAGAGTAAGACAGAAAAGTACAAAGAATAATATTAACATCAAGGGACCTCATCATGCAGATAACCTTGTGTCTTTTGTAGGCACATCCTTCAGAAAAGGCTGTGACAAGGGCCAAATCGGCTTACGAGGAACAGTTAGAGCAGCAACGACTGGCGGCCAGGAGGGCCGAAGAGGCCCAGCAGCTAAGGGAACGGCAGGAGTCTTTGCGTAAGCAGAGGCTGCAAGAGCACTTGCTAAGGCAGCAGCGACTTCAAGAGAGAGAATTGGCCTTGCAGCAGCAGGCCGCGCTCGAGGATGAGCAGCACCGTCAAAAGCGCCTACGGTTGGTGTTCCTGAGCAGGGAGCGGGGAGGGATGGACGCGGTGGAACGTCATCGTGTGCCTCCTGCCCATAAAGTCAGGAGACTAGGGATACTTAACGTGCAGTGGAGATAGAAACAATGAATTTAAAAATGAAATGTCAACTTCCCAAATTTTTTTCACCTGTACATCGTTTTACATTTTTATTTTTGAAAAAAAAAGCACTTAGGATGGCATAGAGGAGGAGATGGGCTTGGAGTCAGTAACACCTGAGTCCAAATCTCACTGTGTAGCCTGGGGCCGGTCATTTCATCTCTCTATGCCTCAGGGCAGCACCTGAGCAATCAGCCCCCGTGGCCTAGGTGGGTTATAAGCCGCATTCTTCCTGGAGGGAGATCTCACACGGGATTCTCCACATGCTGATGAAATCCCTGTTCCTTTGCATGTTTTTAAATGAGGGAGCCGTAGACAGACAAAAATGCCTCCATCTTGATTGTCTCCATCAGAACCATATTTAAATATTTCTTACTTTTTTTTTCCTTTTACGTTGCTGTTTTTTCCCAGTATCCCACTCTGGCCACCAATAGAACCCTCCTTTGTAGCAAAGTACAGTTAAGCAAACCAATGGATACATTGACCGTCATGCCTCAATGTATGCTTGCAATTTACCCCCAACCCTGAGAAAGAGGCAGGTCTCTTTCCTTACCCCTCTGATGTCAAGACTGGCCATTGTAGGGATCTAAGATCTAATCAGAATCATATTTTAAAAGGTTGCACCTTAGAACTTTTTAAATTTTCTGGCAGGCCTCATGATAGCCAAGTAACATTGGTTAGCCTTTCCTTCTGATTTTCTACATTTCTTTGTTATGGAATAAAGCTTCTTTTAAATATGCCCTGGCCTGGAGAAAACTGAGTTTATCAGACCCCAATACATGTGGTTTGTCTGGTTTCATTTATTTGCTTTTTATGCATGTTGACAAACCTCGTTTAAGGCTTGTCTGCTTTGAAAAATGGCCTGTGTCAAATTCATCTGAGTTTTCTGTTGAAGTTACTAAAAAATGTATTCTCGTCTCCCTCCCAGGCAGCAAACGCGTTACGATGCAATGGATAACGATATCGTCCAAGGAGCAGAGGAACAGGGAATCCAAGAGGAAGAAGGGGGCGGTGAGGACTCATAGATCTCCAGGCTCTTATTTCATCATCCTGCCAAAAGGCTGGTTGGGTGTAGGACTGTACCCTAGAGAGACATTAGGCGTTCGGTCATATTTAATGTGTATGTCTGTATAAGTTAATGTATATGTGTAGATATGTACATATATATCTGTATGTATGTATGTATGTATGTATATCTCTCCAATAGACATTAGCAGCCACAGTCATTCAGAAAGATCTATTTCTTCTCTTCCTTTACCAGTATTAGGTTATTCTGTATATGAATCATTGATGGCAAGTTTTACTAAAAGAAATTTGTACTCCTAGAGAATCTGCATATGCATTTCTAGGTGGGATTTCTGTGGTTGGATATCTGAAAAAATAGAACTAAGTCGTTAGTGGCCTTCATTTATAATTATTAACTAGATGGCATTCTTAATTCCACATTGCCTTGGGGTTTCCTTAGAGTCAGGCTGTCGGCCCTTCTGCCACTTAATCTTTGGACAGCACTAATATAGTTGTGTAACCTAATCTCCTGGGCCTTGAAAGGAAGTTGGCATATGGTGCCTCATTGACTTATTTTGATATTTGAGAATTTATTTACACTCAAGAAATTATTTTCCTTATGGTCCTCCTCTGGCAATACTCTTAAGTCCCTTTGTTCTTGAATCATTGGGAATAGGGGAGAGTTGATTACCATCCTCTCATCAAGCCATCATTTTATATACTTCGAAGGCTAATGTTGTTATCCCATAGTCCTCTGTTCCTCAAGCTAACTAACCCCCAGATGTCTTAATCTTCTTTTATCTTTTCTTTCTATTCATTAACCCTGAGATCTAGGAGAAATCTACTTCAATCTCTTTTTATACCATAAGTTGCCAGCATCTTTGTCATCACATCATAGAACATGTGCAGTTGTAGAAGCTGGTCCCTAAACTCCTAAAATGGGTTTGAGCTTTGACTTTTATGAGATATTTTTAGCTTTCTTGGTTCCTTGGTATTTCTTTTGAAAGGACCAAGGAGAAACTGTTAATTTTGGCAATTTCATTAATTTGCACTTTTAAATGTAAATTTTTTGTTAATTTTGGCCTTCTGGGGAGAAGAATTTGGAATGAAAATGAAGTCTTTTTCATGTACTTTTATTCAAAGAAGGAAGATAGAGGAATTCTCTTTCTTCTCTCTCTCTCTCTCCCTCCTTACACTTTCTCTTTCTTCTTTCTTTCTTTCTTTCTTTCTTTCTTTCTTTCTTTCTTTCTTTCTCTTTCTTTCTTTCCCTTCTCCTCTTTCTCTGTGCCCTGCCTTTGTCTGTTTCTCAATCTCTCCCTCTCCCTCTCCCTCTCCCTCTCACTTCTCCCCTCTCTCTCCTTTCCCCTCCTTCTTTTTCTCTTTCTCCATTTCCTATACCACCAAGCCTGAAAAACATTCTAGACAGAACAGCAGCTGGACAGGAGGAGACCATTGTTATTTGTGATCCCGTAGACTTGATAGAAAGCTATTATGGGAAGGTGGTTGCTACCATTCTAGAGGGAATTTCACAAGAGAAAATTAGGCTGACTACGCTCTGGAAATCTTGTAATTTGTTTAATTTTCTAGCCTATGAAAGAGACAACCAGCACCAAGATGAAACTGAAGATGATACACATAGAGAGAATGAGCCCCGAGGACAAGTACGACAAGCAGATAACCCTGAACCTGATGTGAGTGCCCTCTTTGTACATTTCTGTCCAGCAGACAGAGCTCTTACTATGTGTCAGGCATTGTACTTTACAAATATTATCTCATTTGGTCCTCCCAGCACCCCTACCAGGGTAGGTGCTGTTCTTATCCCCATTTTTGCAGTTAAGGAAATTGAGGTAGACATTTAACTGAGGCAGTTAAATGACTTGCCTGAAGTCACACAACTAGTAATTTTCCGAGGCTGGATTTGAACTCAGGTCTTCCTGACTCCAGGCCCAGCCCTCTATCCATTGCATAGCCCAGTTGCCTAGCTGATGAGATTTGAACTGTGACCATCCCTTTGGGTTACTAAAGGTGGGTCATAGACCTGGAGAAGGAAGGGGTCTCAGAGGCTATATTTACTCCAACTCTCTCATGTTAGAGGAGGAAACTTGACCCCCACGGCTAAAACGGCTTGCCCAAGGTCACACAGTTGGTAGAGCTAGGATGTGAACCCAGGTTTTCTGATGCCCCATCCATCATTCTTTCCATTATTTCATGTTTCCCGTCAAAGAAGGGAGACCCTCTAGGTAAGATTCATCATGCAAAGTGTAATCCTCTTCCTTCATCTCTGTGTGCAATGGACTATGCTAGGGTGCTTGATGTGTGTGTGTGTGTTTGTGTGTGTGGAATAGTTTAATTACCTTGAGAAATTATCCATTTGCTTTGTTTCAGACAAGCAAGGAGTGTTTGAGATTGTGTGAGTCTGTCCTTCTCTTTTTACAAATTAGGAAATGGAGTCTCCCAGGATATTCAGTGACTTGCCTCAGGTCACATGAAGAACAAGGAGCCCCAGATTCCCACGCTGCCCATGGTAGCCCAATTCCTCTTACCGTTGATTCTGCTGCCTGACTGACCTTTCTTCCTATTCGTAATCATTAGCGCCTTGGTCTTGTTGCTTCTGGCCATTCCATTTTGACACTCATGTTGGTGCAGGTTAAACCCTGCTCATGAGTACATTTATTTTTCTCTCCAGGGCATGATCCCTGTTTGTTTAAATAGAATGTGGCTTTGTGAAACACCCTTGTGTCACTCTGCTGTGGCTTGGGACAGTTTTTCCACCCAAGAGTCCCGTCCTACCCTACTCTGTAACTCTTCTGTATTGACTTAAATGCGATGGCTTCTTAATCGTGATACGTAAGGTAGTTCCCTTTGTATTTTGGAGAGTGCTTTGAGATCCTTTTGCAGAGGAGTAGCTGTATAAAAGGCAGCTAGGTGGCTCAGCAGATAAAGCACTGGGCCCCGTGGCAAGGAAACCTGAGTTCACATTCAACCTCAGATACTTACTAGCCATGTGACCCTGGGCAAGTCACTTAACCTTTGTTTGCTTTAATCCAGTGGAGAAGGACATGGCAAAACACTTCAGTATCTTTGCCAAGAAAACCCCACGGACAGCATTGGCGTTCCGTGGTCCACAGGGTCACAAAGAACTGGACATAACCGAACAGCAAGCTGTACAAAACAAATGAAATTAGTCAGATGTTGTTTCCAGCTCACCCTGATTTATCTGCCTTTGGGAAGTGAAGCAGGGAGTTAAGTTCTCCAGGCAGCTGGATCTTTGTGATACACATTTAAGTTAAATTCATGCTGTTTAGGGCAAAGTACTGCCAGAGCGGCAGTACTTAAAAAATGTGGTTTCTCAATTGTAATCCCTTTTGACCCGAGGATTTTTAGAATGTTGCTTTTCTGTCTTTCTTTTGAATGATAGCAAGCCGCTGGTGAGGATGTAAATCCTGCCGATGACCCGAACAATCAGGGAGAGGATGAATTTGAGGAGGCCGAGCAAGTGAGGGAAGAGAGCTTGCCCGAGGAGAAGGAGGTACCCAAGCAGAGCAGTCAGAAGCGAGGAAACGCCGAGATGGAGGAGCGTTTGGGGGTGAGGAGCTCCCAGAGGCTGGGCCTTGTTGGAACTGCACGTGGCAGTGGATGACTGGCCCAGGCCAAAGAGGGCGGAGTAAACCACACAGCCAGAAAGGCCCCTGCCTTGATTTGCAATATTCACTTAGCTGCCTGGGGACCCTGAGAGAGACGGGCATTCTTTGCTTCTTATTATGAATTATCGTTCATCATTTCACAGCCATTGAGCCATTGAAAGTGGTCTCTCCTAGGGATGGAGGGCTCGGCTTGAGATCCCACAGTACTAAAGGACGCATCTGAAATGGCCAGTTGCACTAGCTGCCCCATTTTGTTTCAACAGATGGCGGGAAATCCAGACCAGCAGGAAGATAATGTCGATGAGCAGTACCAGGAAGAGGGTGAAGAGGAGGTAGGAACGTTCCAAGCCAGGTTGGGGTCAAAGGATTGAGTTTATGAGGATGGCAGGGTCCGACTGAGCCAATAGCTGTGGACATATTGGTAGAGATTGCGGGTGTATCCTAAGGGATGGGCAAGAAAACCATGAACAGCCCAGATAGTGTGCAGACATGCAAATGGTGTTGGCTCTCATTTCTGCAGCAAGACACAGAGGACAGAGAGCTGGCCAGGAAGAGGCAGGTTTGAGTCCTGCCTCTGACCTTGTGACGCGCTGTCTTTGTGGTCTTAGCCTCTCTATGCTCTCTAAGACTCTTAAGTTGGAGAGAACAAATGAATGGGTGAATAAAGGGAAGAAGGGATGGAAAAGTGTTTGCTAAGTGCTTGTTAATAGAGAAAAATGAATAGTCCCTGCTCTCAAGGAGCTCACCCTTTATTGGGAGAGATAACACATAAAAGAAAGGACAGATGATGCTGATCTGCTTCTGGAAGAGGAGTTTCCCCTCCCGATGGAATTCTAGATGCAGCCCCCGTTCCTGTGCCTTAGAAATCAAATGTTCTCCCAGCAGCCGCATGAGAGAGTGAGGACATCTGGGGAAGTTTAGCAGACAGGACCATATGGCCATCCGCAAGCAGTGAGGGCTAACGAGTCCTCTAATTCAAAAAGATGTGTCTAAATCCTGCTGTGATACTTACTAGCTATAACTAGTAAGTTATAGTCTCACGCCTCAGTTTCCTCATCTATAAAATGGGAATGATCTACATAGTACCTACCTGATAGGGTTGGTATGAGAGCCAGAAAGGCCAGGGTTTGGATCCCAGCTCTCAAACGTCCTGTGTCTGTAGCCGGGAGCAGGTCATTTCTCCTCAACCATAAAATGAACACCCCCTAGTACCTCCCTCTATTGAAATATTGTGAAGTTCGAATGAAATCGTGTGTGTCAAGTATTCTGCTGACTTTAAAGTACTTTCCTATTAATTCATGTAGCATCCCCAAGCATCAGTATCTTTATCTATAAAGCACCAGTATCTTTATCTATAAACCAGAGGTTATTACACTTACTTCCCAGGGTTTTACTGGAGCTTAGATGAAACTGAGATTTATAAAGTCTGTTGCAAACCTTAAAGTGTGAAAGATAGATATACATAAAATATAACAGATTGTATTATATATTATAATGCTTCATATTATAATATAATAATATGGATGATTAGAGGTCTTGATGAAGACAGTGTGTGTCTGTGTCCCTTCCCAAGACAATAAAATAAAGAGGAAAAAAAGAAAAGAAAAAAGAAAATACACATCTAATTTAGCAAGATGGGGGTCTTCAACAGTCCTAGTGACTTCTACCTTTATTAAGCATAGCTAATGACATTTTTGATTCCCTCTCCTTTCTGTTGCACATCTTATCTCCTCAATTACAAGAATTCCTTGACACAAGTAAATTTAAATATAAAGAGAAGTAATAAGATAGGTCCAGCTTTAAAACAAAAAAAATTCTTTTTTTTTTCATTTGGATAAAATAGCTATTTGTCATAATATATTTGTGTACTATTGTCAACTTCTGGCTGACGGAGACCGCATAGTTTGTGACTGAAGACACTTTGTCCCCCATGGTTCCATTAGAGAATAGTGTTTGATAAACAGACATTTTAATGACAGTTTTACCCCTAAATGGGGGCAGTTTAGCTCTGTTATTAAAAATGGAGAATTGGTGAAGCCAAGGTATATAGCCCTAATGACAATGTGGATGAACCAGTTAGCCTGGCACAGAGAAATCCGGGTGTGTAGCCATATACCTAGCCAGCTGGCTTTGTCCGTACGAGGTACCAGGCAAGAGAATGGACCAAGCATTCATTCTCTTGATGTTCACATGCATAAAGCTCCACTGATTATATCACTTCTCTTGGTGTTGTGCACTTACCATTCTTGCCCAGCTTAATCTGAATTTTTTATCAGAGCTTCTGAAAAGAGAAAATAACCTAAGTGCCCATAGCAATTCATAGAACTCTCTAGTCACATCTACTCTACCCTTAATCTACACATCTACTCTATATCTACTCTGACCCAGTTTGTATTTGATTCCTCTGATGGTCATTATCAAGTCAAGTGAACAAACATTGATTAAGCATCTACTATGTGCAAGGCTCTGCACTAAGTACTAGGGATATGAAAAAAGGGGAGAAATATGGTCCCAACAGCCCTTAATGAGCTTAGGCTGTAATCAAGTCTTTAAGCTATGTAATAATAGAGAACATTAGAACTATTCAAACCATCAAACTCTTAGTTAAAAAAATGGTATATATGTGTGTGAATGTATGGATGGATGTGTATTTATTTTTGTGTATTTATACACATTTATATATAAATGTACATATATCGGTGCACACATATGCATATATGTGTGTGTGTGTGTATAGATATATGTATGTATATATCTATATGTATGTATGTATATACACAGAGTAGAAGATCTGGATTCAAATCCTGGGTTGTCCACATACTGCCTGGGGAAGAGCCCATGAAAATGCACAGAATCAAGAGATGGCAGATTGTGTTTGCAGCCCAGCAAGAGGCCAGTGTCACTGGATCGCAGAGTAGGGTGGGCAGGAAGAAAGAGAGGGGAAGAGAAGAGCATGATATAAGAAGACTGAAAATGTGGGGAGGGGGACAGATTATGAAGGACTTCCAGAACTGAGCAGTGAATTTTGGGTTTGATCTTGGAGGTAATAGGGAGCCACTGAAGTTTTCTGAATAGGGAGGTGACATGGTCAGACCTGAAGATTAGTTTGCCAGCTGAATGAAAGATGGACCAGAGTGGGAGAGACTTGAGCTAATGAGAGCAACCAGCAGGCTCTTGCACTGCGGTATGGGAAGAGAGGAGAGGGTCACTCAAGATTATTTATATGCTAGTATAAATGAGTGGCAGTCAGGGGATTGGGCCAGGTGTCCCCACTTCAAGACCAGCCCGTCTATTCATCACTCTGCCTTTTCTTCCCTCATACACCCTCCCAATTCTGCCTTTTTCTAATCTTTCTCCTAACCTCTCAATTTCCCTATTGGTTTGCCATTTTGAAATTGTATTAAGAAATTTCCAATCGTTCCCTTTCTTGTCTTTTAAAAATCTTTAAGGAGCCTTTCATCCAAGGGGCAGGTTCAGAGTAGTCAGATTTTCTTTGGGTAGCCATATGCTAACTTGTACTAGATTTTTTTAAGCGATTGTGAACTTTGGTCTACTCCACTAACATCTTCCTTGGCATCCCAGTGTTGCACAGAGGACATCCTGGTTTCTTTATGCCAGACCAGGGAAGCACAAGTTAGTTCTGAGAGGTCTCTCCAAGCTGAATGGCTTCTAGTATGGATCCATTGGTGGACTGTTTGTCTTCCAAGGCCCCTTGGAGAATGTCTGGAGAGACACTGACTCATTACCAGATGGGTGACCCCAAGTGAAGAATTCAGAGGGACCATAGTAACTCACGAATCCCTTGCCTCCTTGCCCCTATACTGAGGATATCATAGGCAGCATAATCTAGTGGATAGCATAGGGCATTTTGAATCAAGATTTGGGTTGAAATTGTGCCTTAGACACTGACCAGCTGTCCTGGGCTTCACTTTCCCCACGTGTAAAATGAAGGAGTTGGACGGCTCATTTCTAACTTTAAACCCATGATCTTTTTAAGTTTTCCTTTAGGTCAGGGGTTTTTAACCTTAGGGTCTGTGAACTTGTGGGTTTTTAAAAACTATTCCAATAATTGTATTGTAATATAATTTATTCCTTTTAGTTCTATGTAGTTTACTCATTTAAAAACATTCTGAGAAGAGGCCCCTAGACTTCACCACCTGTGAAAGGGGGTCCCTGACACAAAAATAGTAAAGGCTCCTGTTCTCAGTCCCTGATGTGATTTGCCGTGTGAATGTGTGCTTGCAAGGTTTGAAAAGCTTCCCTTCAGCCACCGAGGCGCTAACTGCACTAGAATTTGGTACACTAGAATTCTTTTGCAAATTTACAAAAGGAATTTGTTACATAAGAGGTGGCTATTTCATTTATAATTTAATTTTGTTAAAGTATTTATTAAAACGGGACCCAGTTCCACACCTTGCTCTTCATGCCAACTTAATCAGCCTGAGGCTTTTATCCACATCCACCTTCTCAGCAGATTTTGTTTCCAATTTCTGTTATTTCAGATAATTTTTTTTAACTGCCAAGGCCTTAGGCCTAGTTACCTTCTCAGATAAATAAATTGTTTACAGTTGGTTAATGTGAATGGACTGAGGTCTGGACTGGGATAAAAAAGCATTCACTCCCCTAAAGGTCTCATCAAAGGAGAAATCCTTGTCTTTTCCCTCCTTTGGGAGTTGAAGGTTGGCAAAGAAATATTTCACGGTGTTTGGCCTGTGGTTTGCCATAAAGCCAGGTTTGGAGTTTCATTCATAAGATGCATTTGTTGCTGAGTCTTTCCAGGCTCTTTATGACCCCATTTGGGGTTTTCTTGGCAAAGATACTGGAAGGGTTTGCCATTTCCTTCTCCAGCTCATTTTACAGATGAGGAATGGAGGCAAACAGGGTGAAATGACTTACCCAGGGTCACACAGATAGTAAGAGTCTGAAGCTGGATTTGAACTCGTGAAGATGAATCTTACGTATTCAAAGCCCAGTGTTCTATCCACTGTGCCACCTAGCTGCACCTAAGATCCTTTAGTCAAATGAAAAGCCCCAAGTGCCCGGGTTGGCTGGGTTTCAGGCCTACTTCTACAGCATCTCTGGCAAGGGGTCCGGTCAGAGGCAGTGTGGTCCAGTGGTCAGCTCACTGCTGTTGGCATCAGAGGGCCTGGCTCTGCTGCGTGCAAACCTGTGTGGTCTGGGGCAGGTAATACTTGACCCCTCCAGGACCCAGTGTCCTCAGCTGTAAAATAGGGGGCTTGGAGTAGACACCTCTGACGTTTCCTTTGAGCACTAGAGCCAGGACCTATGATCCCTTCCACTCACACAATCCCTTTTTCCTTCTCACCTGAATTATCACGATGAACGTCTTGAAGTCACTCTTGGAAGGTCTGCGAGGTTGTTTTTGGCTTTTTGGGTGATGGGGAGGAGCACTGTATTCTTCGGTTTGCTTTAAAATGAGAGCGATCATACTGGATTTGGATGGTTTTTGTTGTAGGGTCAAGAAGATTTGGCTGAGGAGAGGAAACGGGAATTGGAGCGTAATGCCGAAGAGCCCTATGGGGAGAATGATGACAATGTATGTGCCGCATGTTTGGTTTTGAATGTAGCAAGAGCCAGCCTTGCTCAGCAGGATGGGGCTTAGCTGCTCAGGGGTCTTACGTAATGGCTGTGTGGGGTACCATTATCACCTCGCCCTCTTTAACAGCGCCATCACAGTCTTGGGAAAAGAGGACCAGCAGCGAGAGAAAGAGCGGGGGACGGGTGGGGACCTTCCTGACCCCATCCCTTTCAATCACCCCTCCTCACTTGGTGCCTTTTCCTTTCTCCTTTGAGGAGTAGTTTTTAAAATTCAGTGTTTTACCAAAACCGTATTGAGCACCAGTATAACCATTTAATTTAAGTGAATTAATTTCAAAGCTAAAAGGAACCAGTCATTTTCAATCCCTCCTTCTGAGTTCCCATTAGGATTCCTTTCATACTCACGTCTTGTCTTATACGATCATAGTGTATACTCTTTTTCTCATTGTCTTACTTTTTGCTACTTTCCATTATTTGCCACATGCTGGCTGGGTAACCTCTGGACAGGTCAGCCCTTTGCCTCTCAGTGCTTTGGGCAACTCTCTAGGACTAGGAGATGTGAAGAAGGTGCTGACCTGCTTGATGGAAAGTGTTTGCTGTCCTGGGAGTTCCCCATGCCAAGGATCTCGGTATCCCTGGATTATTTCCCATTGGTCTTTCCACAGTACTTTTTGATCTTTATACATGGTCTCAATGTCATTAGCACATTAGATCAATATATCCCGATGTATCTCACCTTCCTCCCTCTCTCTCTTTTTTTTTGTCAAGGCAATTGGGGTTCAGGGTCACACAGCTAGTAAGTGTCAAGTATCTAAGACTGGATTTGAACTCAGGTCCTCCTGACTCTAGGGCTGATGCTTTATCCACTGCACCACCTAGCTGCCCCTCACCTTCCACTCTTGTTGCATGCATAGGTTGTTTCTAGTTTTGTTACAATTACGTATAATGCTGCTGTGAGAATCTTTGAATAGACAGCTTTTTTATTTGTTTGTCCATTTCTTTATTTTTAGTAACATTCTCAGGTGAGAGTCTTAGCAGTGGTATTACTTGGTCAAAGGATATGTCCTTTCTTGTGCCTTTCACCAAATACTACCAGATTGCTCTCAGAAAGAAAAATCCACAAGCTTGCAATTTTACCAGCAGCAGAAGAAGATGCATGTTTCTGAGCAGTCCCTGCCAGAGTGGAATTTGGTTGCTTTTAATTATTTTTGCCAGCCTGATGCTGGGTCCTCGGTCATTTTCATCTTCATCTGTTTGGTTTCCACTGAGGGTGAACGTATTTTTCTAGTGATCAGGGACACTTTGTGCCCTTTTCAAAAGCTTTTCAAAGAGCAGTTTTTACTGCCCACCTTCTTCCTCATCAATGGTTCTATCCCCCTCCTTTTTTGTTGTCGTTTTAAACTTTCAGGTGGATGACAAGAACAATGACGCCCAAGAACAGGAAGCTCGAGAAGCGAATCCCCGAAAAGGTCGTGAAGAAAACTATGAGGAGGAAGAAGAGGAAGAGGAAGGCGGGGCTGTGGAGAAAGCTCGGGGCCGAGCAGAAATGTGAAGCTCTGGGGGGCTTTGGCAGAGGGCTCCTCTTCAAGCTGCTCACGGCAAGGACAGTGTGCCTGCTGAACGCTAGGATATTTAAAGATAATTCAAAGCTGCAACTTTTTTTTTTTAACTTTTATATTAGATGCCCGCATTCCTTTATATGAATATAATATTTTCATATTCTAGGTTAGTGCTTTTTTTGTATCCGAGCTAAACACGAAGAAAGAGAAACACATCCAAGACAAACCGTAGGCTCTGACTCACATCTTCCTTTCTTTCTTCCTTTCTTTTTGGGTGGTCAGTAGGGGCGGTGACACCGTCAAGCTTGATAATTCTGTATGTGTTTACACCAGGTATTTCCAAGCATCTTGCTCCTGACACATATCCCATTCCAACAAGCAATATAGGTGAAAAACAAGTGGGGCTCTGGGCACGTAGACCACAGATGGTCAGGTCAGTAGTCGTGTTCCCAAGTGCCTATGTTCAGCTAGGTAAGAATTTTAAGACTCTAGGTTATAGAGAAGGTGCTGACCTGCACTGGTGGAAGGCATTTGCTCTCCCAGGAATCCCTACACCAATGATATCTGTAACCTTATATTATTTCATATTGGTCTTTTCAGAATATTTTATTTAGCCCTAGTCTGATTCCAATACCAGATGCTCATGCAGGGTGGTATACACTTGACCAAGCCTCTAATTCCCATATACGGCCAATGTCTCTTTTGGACGATCAGGTTCATATTAGTGAAAGTGTGCACGCGCGCACGCATGTGTGTGTGTGTAAGATTTCCCATTGCTTCTTCTGGAGGTTGTGCAACATTATAATCACCCAAGGAGCAACTGGGCCAAATAGCAGGAGTATGTATCCCAGTGGCACTAGAATGATGTGAGATGCCTGTGGACCACTTACCTAAGTGATTGTAACGGTCAAGTGAGGCAGGGTGAACCAACACCTTAGAGTTTTTTTGTTTTGTTTTGTTTTCAGAAAGAGGCTTGGTACATTTCTTCTCAGCAGCTTTTTTTTTTTTTTGTTCATCAGTATTCATATTGAGTATTTTGACAGTGTTCTTTCTGGAATTACCTGGTAGCATCAGTATTGTCAAGGTTGTGCCCAGTCCGTCTTGGCCATTCTTCAGATTGCTTTGCTATCACTTACTTACTTAAGCACCAACTGTCAAAATATAGTCCATCAGATTGAAGATATATTTCCCTAAGCATACCATTTAACATAATCATTTTGCATGGAACTATATATAGCAAGGCATTATACATTCAGATATAATATACTCATGACTTTTGTTGGCAACGGTTAAGTCTGCTTTCTCTCCCCCCTCTGACCCCCCATACGTAAGGCATGATGGTAATTCTGAATTAATGAAGCTCTTTAAAAAGTCAGAATTTCCCAGAATGTTCTGTTTTTGGAAATTGAGTGTTTTGTACATTCAACACTTACATCCTACCATAAAATGAATCATCGTTTTCGGATGCATGGGCCAGTGTTTCCTGGATGTGGTTGTGGGCTGTGCTGCAATGACTGTGGAGATCACTTCTCCCAAGGGGTCTGGAAAGAAGACACTTTCTAAGAGGGAACAACCACCAAAGGGAGGGGTGCTTGAGAGCTATGATTTTCCTCCCAGATGATTGTCAGCTTTTAGTGACATGTAAATGTTAGAGTTGACTTAGTTCAGAAAAGATAAAAGGAAAAAAAAAACATTTTAACCATCTAATTAAGAGCCTCTTCTAATTAATTTCCCATTAAGTTTTCTTAAAATGCATTTCTGTTCCATAGAGGACTACATTTGTTTCAAAGCTGGATATGAACACCACCAGCAATAAGGGGTTAAATGCATAAGAAAACATTTTTTAAAAACCCATATACTTTTGTAATTTGTATTAATTCTTTCAAAGTAATGAAAAAAGTTCTGTTCTTGCAATTTTGATATTAATGTAATTTACCCTTTTAAAAAAACTAACTTTTATGTTCATTTCTAGTTTTGACTGTTCCTGGCTGAGTGTTTTTGTAATTATGCATAGAAAGGTTTCATTCAAATGTATTTTGGGGTTTTCTAGAAATCATAAATCAACTTTTACCTTATGTATAAAAACTCTCTGTAATGTAAAATGTATAATATTGTACATAATCTTCAGAATACAATTATTTTGGTAAATTAGTTTGTATTTTAATGTCCCAGTGGCAATATTTAATTATTTGAGGCATAATAGAATTTGGTTATAGATAATAAAATCAAAAGACAGATGGTACATCTTTCTGAAGTGTGATATGTCTAAGAAGGGTCTTAATTTTCATAGCCATTAAACTGTGTCACACTCATAGCAAGATCCAGACTTGATCTGCCATCTGCCTGCCAACTGGTAACAGAATCAGACAGCTGGAGTCTACGGTCACATTCCTGTGGTCATCAGAAACTGAAATACTCCTTCTGTTTGGGCCACGACTTATTGGTTCAACTCGACGTGGTACTGAGAGAGCATCTGTAAAGTTCTGCTGTTTTGGCATAGACAAAACCACAAACTATTATAGTATTCTAATTTTGTCCCAAAGTAGCAAAATGGACAAAAGAAAACTTATTTCATTAAGGACCCAAGTAGCAAGCAGCACTGTTTGGGAAGCATTTTCACTGGTTTTCAATGCTCTCCCAAGTTGCTGGAATCCCCTCCCTTCTCAGAGGATTAGGAATCTAGTTAACTGTTGTGTCTATTCCCCATCACCACACTGCCATCATAGAACATATGCTCTTTGATGGCAGGTTGGAGCCAAAGACCACCTGAGTGCCAATTCTCTGAAGAATAGTTAGAAAAGTAAGAATTCCATTCGAATTTATATTCTAGGAGTCTGCAAACCACCTTAGAGGTTATATGGAAGGATGTGGACAGGAGCTCCACAGGATGAAGAAGAAACGATGGGTAACAATCTCTACCGTTGGAAGAAATGGTAGAAATACCATTAGAAGTAATAATAGAAATAACCTATCACTGATGTAATAGAGGATTACTGAGCTTTACCATCTATCCTGACATTATGCTATTGAACAGATGCTAGCCACTAGGCCAACTGGCCTGCCAATATACTAATGAGCTATGGATCTAGCCATCTCCCCCACCACTGTACCCTTACGACTTTGGGTTCTTTCCATGCACCCTGCTGCTGGACTCTCCTCTGTCTGTTATCTTCCTCAATTGGGGTGTGAGCTCTGTGAGAATGAGGACAATCTCACTTTTCTATATGTATCGTCAGTGCTTAGCACAACATTTGATGTGGAGCACTTAATAAATGCTCATTCATTCATCCGAGTACTAAAGTATGAATCAGCAAAGATATAAAGAGGTAGTTTGGCATAAGGAATAGAGCACTGGGCTTGAAGTCAGGAAAAGAATTGAAATCATACCTGAAACATGCTAGTTCTGGGACTTTGGCAAATCTCTTGATCTTGATGTCTAACTCTAGGGCCTATGTACTCATAGGCAGATGTGGATTTGAGTTGGGGATGGGAGTTGCCACAGCAGAAATTCACCAGTGATCAAGAGCCTTTATTGCGGTTACATGTCCCCCTAGGATTTTTGCTACTTCAACATGGGGTGAGACAACTAGGTGGTGGATATCCAAGCTCAGTCATTTTTTCATAATATGATGTCAAGATAGAAGGAGGTCTCCAGTGGAGTACCCCAATAATCTCTGCTGGGACCTGTACTCTGCTGTTTTTTAAAAACAGAATTTTGATATCTTTTGTTTTCACATTGGCTAGATTTCAGTTCCCCTCTATATCCCTTCCTGCAAAGTTATCCCTTATAACAAAGAGCTTTAAGAAAGAAAAAAACAAAGATTCAACAAAACTGATTAATATGTCAAAAAAAATTGGATGTGCCACATTCCAAACTTGTGACCCCTCCCAGGGTCTCACAGCTAGTGTCTAAGTTCACATTTGAACTCAGGTCTTCCTGACTCCAGGCCCAGATCTCTACCCACTGTGCCACCCAGCTGCTCCAATTGCTAGATGACATATTTATCAAATTGCAACACGTAACTGGGAGGTGGGGGAGGTATAACCCACTGGAAAGTTGGAATCCAAATAAAAATTTTGACAGGCTAGGATTTGGCTCAAGCTAATAAGGTAAAGTTCAACAGGAATCAAAGTAAAGCATGTGCTTGGGTTGAAAAACAAACAATTTTTTAAATGCAAGTTGGGGGAGGCATGCTTAACAGTTTGTCTGAAAAAGATCTGGGTGTTTTCATGGCCTGCATGTATACTGCTCTGGCAGTCAAAAATATTGGTGCCACCTGGAGCTGCCCTAACGAACGCTTAGCTTCCGGGAATAAATGTGATAATCTCTCTGGACTGCACCATGTCCAGACCACATATGGACTATTATCTGCAATCTGGGCACCACCATTTGAGGACATTAATAAGCTGGAGAGGGGGTTCAGGGGAGCAGGCAGGATAAAGAAGGGCCTACCTAGAGTCCATGATATAAGGAAGTTGGTCGAAGGAACTGGGCATGTAGCACTTGGAGTAGAGAAGTTTGGGGTGAGAGGTGGGGAGGGGAGCAGGAAGAAGTCATGTGGACAGCTGTATGCAAAGTATTTGAAAGGTTCTCTTTGAAGAAAGGTCATTAGATTATGTCTAAGCACCTAATTTAAATATTCTAGATGATTCTGGTTCAGTGGTCTGTGGGCAATGTACGGCAGTTGTCAGTCATGAATTAATACAGTAGACAATCATGAACTCACCTATTTATAATCGTCCAGACCTGCAGTAACTATAGGGCAGAACCATGTTGCAGAAAAATGGCAGACATAAACATATTTACAGCCATGTTGGAGTATTATTTAAGTTTATGGTAATCTCTTGATTCCTATAAATTGACATTGAAAATCAGGGTGGTGTATAGAGTGCTGGAATTGTGACCATGGTGACCTGGGTGGGTTCCCATCCCATCTCAGACACATTGAGACCCTGGGCAAGTTGGTTGACATCTGTCAGTCTCAGTTTCCTCATCTGTAAAATGAGGATGATAATGAGGGTATACATAAAACAACGTATCTAAGCTTTCTATAGTATCTTATTGTTTCATTCTCATCTTTTTCAATGGTATTCAGATAAAAATGGTACCAAAGACAAACAGTTAAACTGTTCTATTTATATTTAATATTCTGTGAACTATTACATAGATGGAGGAAATAACTGCTTTTTTAGGTTAATGAAAGTATTAGGGTGTAAGCACATCTTCGGTAGCCTTCTCAAAATTTCCTCATTACAACTCCAGTAGCGGGCAAAAGGAGAGGGATGATAAACATTCTCTGGTTCTCATGTGATTTTGATCTCTATATCTTGAATGCTTTTCATTTTGTGTAGCTTGGAGATTGAGTATTTAGTGTAGCAGTATATATTAAAAATATTATTGCTCTTAGGTTTTTAACGGCTCTAGGTTCTGTCCAGGTGACTGTGTGTGGGTAGCAGTTTATTCTGTGATAACAGTCTAGTTTCAGTACAATGTATTGACTGAGCTCTCCAGGCTATTTCAAAGTCTATTTCTGTAGTATGTGGATTTCCCATCAGTCGGCTATGAAAGAGAGTGAGCTTTAGAGGCATAATTAATACTAACCACTAGGTCATATCTTGCTAGGTATTCAGCAGGTGCTAAAATGTTATAGCTTGTGATGATGTGTTGGGCAGGTGTTACTGTTTACTTGCATTAGCTGTGTTGATAAGGAAGTCTGGACTCTTCCAGGGTAACCCTACTCTAATTTCTAGTGGCAATAAATTGATCCTGAATTGCCATCATAACCTCTCTTGCTCCCTTCAGTTCCACAACATTCACCCAACAATGTGTTGTTGGCCAAGTTCATACAAATGTCTCCCATGAAGGGCCAGTTATCATGATTAATTCACATTTTCCTTTTTTTTTTCTTTTTCTAATTTTGAGAGATTTAGTGATCATAAATGATGGGGTATGGGCCCAAGCTGAGACCTTTGCCCCTTGCCCTAAAAAGAATCTGGCTCCCATTTGTCTACAGGCCCCAGAAAACCCTTAAACTTTTCTTACTCTGGTGTCAAACAGTTCCTCAGAGACTCCCTTTATCTCCCTTTGAAAGCCCTAGCCCCGCCTTTTGATCTTATTCAGATGCCTTTCAAGCTTCTTCCTTTCAGTTCCCTTCATTATCTATTCCCATTGTCTATTCAATCTCTCAGACATTCCAATATGAATTCTCACCTAGACCCTTTTCCTAGTCCCTCCCTGGCCACCCAAAGTTACTTTAGTGTATATAAGATCCACCCTGACCCCCATTTAAAGGCTGAGTGAGACTTTCTCATTCCTGCTAGTCCTTACCAGAGTCACTAATGTTCAGATTGCTTAAGAGTCTGGCCTGTATAGTTTATCTCTAATAAACTTTTTCTCTAGCTGAAAGAAGATTTGGGTTGAATTCATTCCGGTAGGGCCTGCGTGTTGTGATCTCGGGGCCCCAGCACCCCTAAACCTCTCGACCTCATCAATAAATGCCTCACATGCCTCCAGTTTTAAATAACTTTGCTTTAACCTCAGATCTGACCATGTCACCCTCCTCCCCCGATCCAACCCTCACCCTATTTGATACCCTCCCATGGATCCCTATTACCTCCAAGATCAAATATAAACTCCTCCACTTGGCTTTCAAAGGCCTTCATAACCTGGCCCCTTCCTACATTCCCAGTCTTCTACACTTTACCCCACTCTGTGTACTCTACAACCCAGTGACACCTGCTTCATTGCTGTTACTAACACATTCAACACTCCATCTCTTGATTCTGGGCATTTTCTCTATCTGTGTCCATGCCTGGAATTCTGTCCTTCCTCATTTCTCCTTCCTGGCTTCCTTGACATCCTTTAAGTATCATCTGAAATCTTATCTTCTGTAAGAAGCCTGTCCTGGTCCCCCTTAATGGGGTTCATCTTCCCTCTGTGGTTATTTATAATTAATTACATAGATAAATAGGTAGGTAGATCTATCTATCTATCTATCTATCTATCTATCTATCTATCTATCTATC